ATTTTCACATATTTTCATGTATTATTTTTACAATGCATGAGGAAGATCCCTCTTTGGTTAAAAATGCTTATATAATTAAGGCCAGCACATGGCATGGTGGCTAAGATGGCTGGATCCCAGATGGGAAACCACATGGTTAGATTTCTGAACCCATCAGCTTGAAAAACATGTCAGATACATGCAGACCCAACATTCCAAAAGGAGGGAGAGATGGGGAATGTATTGCAGGAACCCTTCCGCATGGGGTGGGGGAAGGGTTTCTCTCTCTCATGCACGCTTTCTCCAGCAAGTGTGCATGCCCCCTGCAATATTTTTTTTTAAAGAATACAACGATCTGTAAATTGGTCACATCCTCATGAAACCATCAAGGTGTCCTAAGTCAAGATTATAGCTGCTTTACTGTACTAGGACTTCTACCTGCTTTGAAAAAGTATTTTCTAAAAGCATTCTCATCTCACAGGAGACATTCCTATCTTCCCCGCTCAATATAATGCATTGACTTGAAAGATGCATAATGCAATTGTTGGCGTCCTCAGATATGCAAGGAACAAAGACCAGAACTGTTCATCATACTAATTTACACGATGACAAGCTGTCTGTATCTGGGGAAAACGGTGAGTTAAAATTCCATGCTGTAATAAGACAAATAATTTGAAGACTGTGCTTCCTTCTCTTCTAGCTTTAAAGCGTTATAGTGGATCTGTGTCCACAGCAAGTTGCTTTCTTATGGAAAGAAAGGAAACTTCAAGGTTGGTGTGACAGAAGATGAGCATTGTACCGGCCCCAGTGTGAACAAGGGAGGACACTCAGGTGAGTGGGCTGCTTCCTTCCTTCTCAATATATTGTTCTTGGAAGCAATTTTAAGGTTTTCCCTGAAGGTAAACCTGCCCTGGGGATGATGGGGCTGGGATGCCTATCAAAAGTGGAGCTGCCCAGGAGTGTGTAGAGATGCTTCATTTCTTCTCCAAACTTACACACAGGGATGTGCTAGTTTATTAGTAACAAGTAAGTGTCATTGTGTAAGTTTATTTTGAGTGAACTTCAAATCCGTCTTATTATTTCATGATGTTTCTTTTAATGACTTTAATAGGGAAATTTCTAGAAATGGTTAACTAACCAATGAAATTGATTTAAAGCTAATACTGGCACAGCTCAGGCCAGATTTTTTATGATATTGAGACGAGTTGCCAATTTCCCCCACGTTTGTAAAGAATAAATGGACTCAGATACTGACCAGACGGCTCTTCCTCCTCCCACAGAGAGGCCTGTCACCTTGAAAGGAGGCATCCCTTTACAAGGACCTGATTTCCTCCTTGGAGGCTGGTTCCTGAGAGTAAGTGCCCAAAGTTTTTCTATTTGTTAGTCACTATTGATGAAATGAATATCTTTAGTCTAAAACATTTAGATGTGTTTGGGTTCTCATTTGTTTAGCAAATGCATATTAGATGTACACTGAATCTCAGAGAGCGTGTTAGTCATATCCTAAAACTCTTAGCTAAGGAAGAATGAGACCTAAGTCAGAGCTGTCTTGCAGGTAGAACACATTCCAGTAGAGGATTGTGGCTACAGTCAGACTAGAATCAGTTATCACCAATACCAAACCACAGCCCCCAACCTTTGCTGAACCTTTCTGATCTTTGTCAGACTGATCCCACTATAATCATTATAATAAAGCTAAAACTTCATTAGCATAATATGAGATTCGTGACAGAGCATGATTTACTGCATGTGTGCTAGTGACTGCACCTCTACCCAGCAGATTCTGGCCACAAATGTAACCCTGACTCCTTTCTAATGGGAGACACACTTGGGAAATATCCCTGGTCCTCCCCTTACTAGTACAAGTAATAAACCTTCTTATACGGACCACTGATCTCAGCTGCATTACTGATTCATGCCCCCTGAGGACAGGGATATCGAGTTTAGTAACAAAATTACATGCATTCCAGCAAGTCATATTTGAAGACCTTTTCTCTCTAAATATTCATATTAATAATAGGATCTCTCTGTATCTCTCTCTCTCTCTTTTTCCATAGGGTATTTGTGCTTTCCAGAAGAGACAAAGAGAAAGAATGTGAGAAATAACCCTCCTGGGGTGGATAGTCAGACTATAATCTCTTTTTCATTCTCCTCTCAGGATTTTAGGCATGCATGTGTACGACCCCAGTGGGATTTTCAAGCTGCCAGGTCTGGGATTTGAACTGTGGTTGGTCATGTGGGATTCCAGAGCCTTAACCACCAAACCATCTGATAGTCCCAGTAGTAGGATCTTTAAACTGTTTTAATTTCCATAATGTTTTACTTTAAAGTTCCTAGTGACTTAATTTTCAGTACTTTCTTTGAGTCATCATGGCCAGCTAGTCAGATAGTGATCACATTGTATATTACCCTTCATTACACTGTCTGTGTTACTTTGGGAAAAAATACTGCATTTTTCTACTACTAAAATATTATATTTCCCTGTTTATTCCCTGCATTCAGCATTGGTCATTTCATGCCTATTTAAGGAATTTGCTGGTGAACAAATAACCATGGTGATGATAATACGAAGACATTGTGATGGCATCCAGGGAGACCCGAGAGGGGTGATATCTTCAGAATGAAGCCTGGTACTGACTAGGAGAATGGACTGGACTCCAGACTTCTTTCAAATCACTGGCTCAGGGACCAGCAGTTAGCGTAATGGCTATGTCGCTGGACTCTCATGTAGTCGACCGTGGTTCAAGACCTGGACCCGGTGGCTTAAACTCACGCCAGGTGCGTGTGCATGCATGCCCAAGATCCCAAGAGGAGAATGGAGGAGAAGGGATTGCGGCATGGCCATCCCCTCTGGGGGGGTGATTTCTCGCTTTCTGTCTCTCTGTCTCTGTCTGTCTGGCGAACGCACGCGCCCTATAGCTTTTTTTTTAACGCCCCGCCCCAAAAGAAAAAAAAAAAAAAAAAAAAACTCTCAAAAAAATCACTGGCAGAGAGAAATAAGTTTTAATTTTGATTTCATATAATGCAGTGAGAACAACAGCTTATGAGTTATATTAATATGAGCTTTTTGCTAACTTATAGAACACAATCCCATTTTAATTGGTTTCTTCTCATCCTTGATTTCAGATAAGAGAGAAATTTAGATTGTGCCTGTGCTTTAGCCTCTGTAGAACTTAAGAGTTAAGTTTTTGGAGAGGAGACATTAAGTGACTCAATGCAGTTTTGTTCTGAACCATTTTTCCCAGGAATCCTGAATGCCCTTTCCAATTAAAGTCTCATGTGCACTTTCAAGGGTGCAGAAATGAACTCATGGAATGTGTGATTTGCAGATGGGACTCATGGCTCTGCCAAGGTTCATCCATGAATCTTGTACTGAGATTGTTTGGCTTCGTTTAGAATACTGGTAGCTCTCTCAAATTATATTAAAAACCCAGAGTATCTCATTCTGACCATTTAGCATAAATTTACCTTGTGGGCCAGCTGGTGGCATGGTGGTTAAAGGAGATGGATCACACGTGGCCAACCTTGTGGTTCCAGTGCTGGACCAAGCAGCTTGAAATCCATGCTGGGCATGTGGACATGCCCCAAATCCCAAAAGGAGGTAGAGATGGAGGAGAAGGGACTGTGCTGTGACTATTGCCCACGGGGAGGGTTTTTTCCTCACCTCCCATACACTACATTTTTCTCTTGTTTGAGTGCATGTGGCAAAATATGCTTCTGACTAAATTTTAGAAAGCAGTGAAATGTAAGGTGAAATGTTTTTTAGACCTGTTGCAATTATTTGTTCAAGCTTAAGAGAGTCTTGGAGTGTCTGCCCCCCTTGTTCATCTTGGTTAGCCTTTCTAATGCTTCTAACTCCTAGTGTTTTTACTCACTTTCTGCTACCATCTCTGACAATATCTTAATTATGATTGTTGTCACATGAGCAAGCTCTACAAGTTCAGTGTTCCCGTCAAGCTCCCTATTGTGGACTCTGGCTCTTGAAAGAACTGAGGGAGACACCTTCCACCTAGGATTTGTGATGCTACCATCCATTGTTCTGCCTTTGCTGAGGAAAAAGGAAACTAGGACTGGGACGGGCCAGGGTAAATGTCACTTCATCTGCTGCTGCACCTTCTTAACCACTGACTCATCTTATACTGTGAAATGGCAAGTTTTGTGAACGTTAGGAGAATCTCTTAGAAGGAGGGAGTTCCAACTTTTTACCATGTTTCACACCAGAAAAGCCTGTGAAGACACTTTAGTTTCCTCAGACACCAAGCTGAAACTAGCGGAATCCTTGACTTGAACGAGTCTCGTCATCAGTAACAGCACTGCAGGTTTCTCTTCTTTTTATTTGATTTTGGCAACCACCTTTTGCATGTGCTTATTGTAATGCAAAAACACTTCTCAATGTAAAATAACATGAAATCAGAAAAATAGGGATAACCTCAGCATCACAGATAGCAGTGCCATGTGACAGAAATATCACGTGAAATTCAAATGTCAATTTAAATGTTCTGGTAGGCACATTACATGAGATAACAAAGGTCACATTGATTTTAGTCATATCATTTATTTAACTCCATGTCCAAAAAATTATTTCATCATATAATTAACACAGAAGTGATTAGCATGATGTGTGACATTACATTTTTCCATGCTAAGTCTTCAGAATCTAGGATATGTTTGATATGAACAGCACGACTCAGTTTGGAGGACCACATTTCAAGTTCTCAGTAGTCACAAGGGGCTGGGCCTCAGAAATGGCATATAGTTGGGGCCAGCAGGTGTGCACTGGTTAAGGCACTGGATCCCACATGGCCAACCACAGTTTGAGTTCCAGACCTGGCTACTTGACAGTCATACCAGGCCTGTGTATATGTGTGCCCAAAATCCCAGGAGGAGAATGAAGGAGAAGGGATTGCAGCACAGCCATCCCCCCTAGGTGGAGCAGTGATTTCTCTTCCCCCTTCACTGTCTGTCTCTCTCCTCTCTGCGTGAGAGTGAAATTCAAATGTGCTTTCTGGATTGGAGAGAGCTCAGAGCTTTGGGGCTGGAAGAGGGTCTGGTGTGATCATGGGTTTGTCTGTGACAGGACCTAGAAACATGGAACAAAGACATCAGGCAAGAGGTGGCATTTGACTCCTTCATCCATCTTCACTCATCACAGCATTAGGGGGTCTGAGGGCCTTTTCTTTGTTATTGTGGTCAGCTCTTTCTGCTCCTGTCACTGTATTCTTTTGCTCCTGAAAACAGCTAAATTGTATCACCTGGTTGTGATTAAGGAGGAACAGTCTCTGCTGCTTCTCTCCTCTAAAGATGGGCTGCAGAAACAAATGGAAAACAGGTTAATGATCTAGAGCTGCTTTCCTGTGCTGACCGCGTCTTCTCAGTCTCTCAGTCACAGCTGCACAGTCTGCATTTGGCTCGTATTTTCTTTTCTTTTTCTCTTTTCCTTTCTTTCTTTTCTTTTCTTTTCATTTTTGCTATGGGGCACATGAGCTCACCGGAGAGACAGATTCAGAGAGGCAGGAAGCAATAAATCACTCCCCTGGGGGGTGGAGGGGTGGAGGGGATGGCCACACCGCAATCTTGTCTCCTCCATTCTCCTCTCAAGATTTGGGAACGCACCCACACGTGCCCATTTTAAGCCAGGAGAACTGTAGTCAACTACTTGGGAGTCCAGCAATGTAACCATTTCACCATCTGCTGGTCCCTTGGCTCACATTTCTGTCTCTCCAGGAAGGATTGCTGAATCACAAGGTCATTCGATGTTTTAGTTTTTTTTAACTAAGATTATTTTTTTCCTGAGAGAGAGGGAGAATGACATAGCCTTGACAGGTCTGGCCATGCTGCGGCCCTTCTCCAGTCTTCAAGCCACAGTCACAGGTGGGCCTTGAGTGTTCCGGCTGACCAGCGACGGAAACCAGCCTTCCCATATGGCTCCAGTATCAATACAGTGCTGAGGACTACATTTTTAGTTTTCTATTTTCACGTGAACACACCAACTTCCATTCCATTCCTATCGACAGCAGACACACTTCGCTTTCTCCACATCCTGTCTGCAGTTACTTTTGTCCCCTTGGCAGTGGCTGTTTTAACTGGGCTGAGGGAACAGCGCACTGTGGTTCTGACTGGCATTTCCCTGGTGGTTACTGACGCTGAGCATTTTTCCCCACAGGGCCTGAGTCTGCATCCATAATAAATGGTGCAGTCTGCTTAGAGCCGACTGAGGATGGATTGTTTTATTCCTAAGGGAGACTCCAGGTGCAGCCCTATACTGAGCTTGAGCCCGGCCTCCCCTAAACTGACCCTACTAGAGAGGGCACTGGGTCCTCAGTCCACGACCTCTCCCTCCTCACTGCCTAGGACTCCTCCACCTGAAACCAGAGCAGCCTCCTGGCTCCCAGTGCCCTTGAGCCCAGCAGTCATTCTCTCGTACTCTCCAGAACACAGATTTTGCCTCGCACCCATGGCTCCCTAGTACTCAAGGCCAAACTCTTGGAGCTGACTCCTAAGACCTGGAGGCCACTTAGCTGCCCCTGAAAACTGACACCTCTCAGTCCACCACACAGGCATGCCCTCCTCAACCAACTCACTGAAGATCACTAACTTCCCAGCCCTCTACTCACTGAGCTGAGCTCCCACAAATCATTCTCTCCAGGAAGCCCTCCTGGATGCCTTCATCAGGCTGGGTACTTCCTCTGGGCTCCCCCATTCAGCACCCAGCTCTAGTGTTTTAACTGCCACTTTCCCATTCATCTTGTTCATTACTGGCCTAGTCCTGCACTGGGCACAGAACAGGTGAATGAGCAAACAAGGGAGGAAGCCAGGGCTCAGGCTGAGCAACTTCTCTCAGGCCACTTAGCGCCTAATCACCAAGTGAATTGGAGCTTCTGCTATATCAGCCTGGAAATCCCACCACTATATGACCCAGCCTCCCTGGCAGGCCACACCACGTCCAAGAAAAGACTGCTTTTCTCTTGAGTGCCCAGAGATGGTGAGCAGCTGTCCCAAGATCACACAGTAAATCCTGGCCTCAGCTTCTCATCCTGGCAAACCTTATGAAATGCTGTCCCCAATTTCTGTATGATTATTTCCACGACCTCTCTGAGGTGGGTGCCAGGGTTAATCCCAATTCACAGTGGCCCTGAGGGGCTTAGCCATGAGCCCATGAGCCTAGGATAATCCCCTCCACAGCAGGTCCCCAGTCCTCTGCTCAGGCACCTGCTCCTCCCCCCCCTAGGCCATGGCTTCAGTCCTGCATCCTCAAAGGCCTAGCCAGCTCTTGTAAGCTGAGGTCCAGGTGGTACTGCTGTAGACCAGGTGTCGGGGTGGGCAGGAGTGTTGGTTGTCAGTGTGCTCACACATGCCACCATACTGGGGCACACATAGACAGGATGGGCACAAGACCCTGCCTACTTCGTCCCTCAGCACCGGGGACTGGCCAGCGGTCTGAGACTGGCTTCTGTATTTGCAGAAGGAGCTCAGGGCTCAGGGGCTGAGGTGGCTTCCTGGCAGGGTTTCTGACCCTGGGTCTGACATTGGATTTGACTTGGGTCCAGTTTGGTCTTCAGCACACACACTGTGTCCCTGTCTGGTTTTCCCCTCAGAGGCTACAAAGGTTTCAGGAAACCAAGAGAGGAGAGGAGCCAGGAGAAGCCAAGGGAGGTGAATGCAGAAAGGGGAGTCTCTATAGGAGAAGAGGCCATACTTCCTAGGAGGGCAGGAGTTCCCTTCCCAACCAGACCCATTCTCAGGTCCTGGCTTTCTCTCTCTGGGCTCAGGAATCAGTTCTTCAGGAACTTGACCAGATTGACTCCAGGTTAATGCCTTTCTGGGGGCTGAATTCCTGTGGAGACCCGAGCTGGGAGTATGATCTCTCTGTGACCTACCTGGACTTCTCTGCTTTCAGGGATAAGGTGGGAATGAGATACAAGCATGGACTTCAGAGTTGTATGGAGATTGAATTTATTAGGACAGGAAACCAGAAAAAACACATGGAGAAGAACAGTGCAGACAAGAAACACATATTGACATTCCCTGAATGCTTAAGATATGCTCACCTCTTTTTCTACCTCATCTTCTATTATGAAAGTGGAGAATTTATTTATTCAGTTATTTCTGGTCTCTATATATTCTTTGGGAATGTGAGGGGTCAGCAGACTTCCTCAGAAGCCTCCTCAGACATGGGCTGTGGAGGTGTGTGGTGACCACTTTTATCCTCCTTTGGCCGCTAAAATATGTTTTATCACTAGTGACTTGCTCACCCTTCCTGCAAACCTAGGGCTTCTCCCCTGTGTGTGTCCTCTGGTGAGTGATGAGGTTTGACTGCTGGCTAAAGCCCCGCCCACACTCCCTGCAGACATAGGGCTTCTCCCCTGTGTGTGTCCTCTGGTGAATGATGAGATGTGACTGACGGCTAAAGCCCCGCCCACACTCCCTGCAGACATAGGGCTTCTCCCCTGTGTGTGTCCTCTGGTGAATGATGAGATGTGACTGACGGCTAAAGCCCCGCCCACACTCCCTGCAGACATAGGGCTTCTCCCCTGTGTGTGTCCTCTGGTGAATGATGAGATGTGACTGACGGCTAAAGCCCCGCCCACACTCCCTGCAGACATAGGGCTTCTCCCCTGTGTGTGTCCTCTGGTGAATGATGAGATGTGACTGACGGCTAAAGCCCCGCCCACACTCCCTGCAGACATAGGGCTTCTCCCCTGTGTGTGTCCTCTGGTGAATGATGAGGTGTGACTGCTGGCTAAAGCCCCGCCCACACTCCCTGCAGACATAGGGCTTCTCCCCTGTGTGTGTCCTCTGGTGAATGATGAGGTGTGACTGCTGGCTAAAGCCCCGCCCACACTCCCTGCAGACATAGGGCTTCTCTCTACCGGCATTTGACTTATTGATGAGGCCTTGCCCACACTCTCCATACTTGACACCGGCAATTCTTGAGCTTCCTACTCTCACAAGTAATTTACCTGTGTCCTCAGCACCTACTTTCTGGTCTGTTCTTTGCCCTGTCATTCTCTCACCCTCTCTAGCATTCTCCATTTGTCCTTTGCATGGGCTGCAAAAGGTCCTAGACATTGTCCTCTGCCTTGTCCTTTCTTGGGAGGGTTTGGACCTTTCTTTAACCTTTTCATAATCAGCTTTGTCACTGCAGTGCTGTGGATCAGAATGATGCTGCTCCTGGTTCTCATTCCCCGGATGGGTATGCTCTGGTTGGAGGTGTTTTCTTGCAGATGTTCTCAGGGACCTCTGACAGGAGTGATTGTGTTCCACATGTTGATTGAGGAATTTCTGACTGGAGAAGGCCAGAGAGCATGAGAGACATGGATGGATCTCTGGTCGTGGTTCTGCTGAAAGAGGATGTTCTTGGTCAGGATGGATGAACAGAAAGCTATCTGGGCTACTGCCCTGCTGTGGGGTAAGGCTGCCTCACAAGTCATTCCTTGTGTATTCACAACGCAAGCTGTCTTCCACCCATAGTTCCTCTATACTCTATTTTTCTTTGCTATTGGCCAGACTAGTGAACTTCAAGTTGCATCAGAGGCAGCTTCACTCCTCACAGAGGGGCACCCACAGTGACTTCCCTGGGCACCACCTGTGTCTCGGCACACTCTCATACCTTCCCAGCACATCCTCTGCCACCTCCTCCCCTCACTGATCCTGGGGACTTTCATGATGCAGCGTCTACAGCTATTGTATTCTATTGGGATATGACCACTTTTTTTTTTTTTAATGAGAGAGAGATTTTTGCTATACAGGTATGCACTCACCAGAAAGACACAGACAGAAAGTGTGAAATCACCTCCTAAGTGGATGATCATGCTGCAATCCCTTACCCTCCATTCTCTTTTCAGGATCTTGGGCATGCATGCACACACACCCAACGTGAGGTTTAAGTCACAGGGTCCGGGACTCAAACCATGGTTGATTATGTGGGAGTCCAGCAAAGTAACCATTACACCATCTGCTAGTCCCAAGGGTATGACCACTCTTAATGGCTTAGGTGGAATGGTCCTTAGCAACCCTTCCTCTGAGGGGAAGGGATCCTATTGTATTAAGTTAGGAGCCATTCAACCTGGAGATCCATGAGTATGGATGGCAGTGTGGAATAGGGGTTAAGAAGAGAACATGCAGATCTAGCAGGTGGCATAGTGGTTGAGGCACTGGACTCCCATATGGCCAACTGGAGTTTGAGTCCCAGACCCACCAGCTTGACAATCATGCCAGTTGCAAAATCCCAAGATGAGAATGAAGAGACTTCAGTGTGGCCATCCTCCTTGGGGGGTGATTTTTCATTTTCCCTCTAACTGTCTCTCTCTCTCTCTCCTCTTTAGTGAACACCCTTGGCACACGTGGAATGGCAAAAAAACTTAAGAAAAGAAAAAAAGAGAGAGAGCATATGCAAGGTAATCTGATTTTATGAATCTCACTCTGAAACATATTAAACTGAGGACCTGGGACAAGATAGAATGACCCAGTTCCCACCAACTAAAGGATGTTGGCTGCTGCTGCCCAAGAAGGGCTGGATTTCCTTCTCTCTCAGTGTTCCATGATCAGAACACAACAATATGTCCATCCTCATGTGTTCATATGTGATTAATTTCATCCAGTTTTTGTTCATTTCAAATCAAATAGAAAGTCCCATTTCAAAATACATCCCTCATTGGACTTTTACCTCCCTGATTCCACCTGCATCTACCCTACTGTCCTTTCTCACCTGGAGATAAAAGTAGCCTCAGAGAGGATGACCCATGACAGTTCATTTTCCAAAAATCAGCAAAGGCCTCATCTTATAACAAAGAACTGGATGCTCCAAGGTTGTTTCCATCTCACTCAGAAAAAAATGAATGTCTTTGCAACAACCTTCAGCCCTGTGTTGCCAGGCTTCTGTGGGTCTCTCTACCTCTGGCTGCCTACTCTGCTTCCTCACCTGAGTGCCTCTAGCACTTCCTTACCTCGTGGCCATCATTTGAGCTGCTCCTTCTGCCTAGAATCCTTTGTCTTCAGATATCTGAGTCTCTGAATGTCAACTCTTGAGGGGTACCTTCTTGGATCATCCTCTGCCACATACCCTTCCTTCCTGTGATCCCTGGGCACTTTGCTGGGTCTGTTTTCCTCAAAGCTAATCTCTGGAACCATGCACAGGCCAATATGTGTGCTTGTGCTTTTCTTGTCTGTGTTGGTTGCTCAAGAGCAGTTGTGCCGATCATGTGGTTCCACCAGGATTGCCAGTTTCTGAGCCATAGTCTGGCACAGGGTAGAAATTCACATGACAGGTAACCGAAATAGTGAGTGAATAAGTGAATATGATGACACATACATGTTGCTTAGAAATATGGAGGAAATTAAGGATAAACAACTAAAACCACCAGAAGACTCTGCCTTAGGAGAGAGCTGAGAGTTTAAGAGCTTATTATTATTATTACTTTACCTCTAAGCCTTTCAGCACTATATTCTGTGATATACATTGTACATGAAGCACTTAAAAATAAAATCAGAAAATGAAAAATATAGCACTTGTTCCTCATAGTTAAGGGCTTGTGGAATTAATCCTTCATGTTGGAAACATCTGATTTGAAATTTTACTGACTTTACATGAGTTTTAATCTATGTTGAGGCATGAACATTCCCAAGGAGAAGTCCTCCATCTATGTTCTTATAGATAATCACAGTGGTGCTCACCTCTCCTTGCCACAAGCTCTTTCTTCCACTTGCTGCCCCACTTGATGCCCAGCTCCTGGCCGTACTCCTCCCCATACCACACCAGCAGCTCACAGCCTGGCCTGATGACCCGACAGGTCCGGTAGAAGATCTGTCTGTGGTACTGAAAGGCCACCAGGTTCTGCTCCTCGTCATCCCGGGCACAGTTTACATACCTTGGTTGGGCAGCAAAGGTAAGGGAAACAATGGGCAGTGAGGTTCCACTATCCTGCAGGTCCATGTCTATTGTACATCTGGTGGTCAAGACCTCTCTGCTAGGGTGCTACTCCACAGCTCCCATGCCCCAACTACTCAAGAGCCTTGTGTTCATACCTAAGTTTCTTATAATTTATATTTTATTTTATTTGCCAGAGAGCTTACCAGAAAGAGACAGAAAGACACAGACAAAGGGAGAGTAAGAAAGCACCCCTGACTGAGTAATGATCACATCACAATCCCTTCTCCTCCATTTATCCATCTTGTCATATTTTGGGCAAACACATGCACTGGCTTGTCTCTCAGGCTATCAGGGCTTAGACTCAAACCATGGTTGGCCTCGAGGGATCTGGTTTCCCTTAACCACCAGGCTATAGGGTTGTTCCCTTACCTAAAACCCTCTCTCACAATGTCCTATGAATTCCAGTCTCCAAGTTCTGGTCATGGTGCTCATCCTGTCTACAGTGCTTCCCTTCCCTCCTTGCCTAATTAACCACATTCCAAAGCTCAATTCCAGACACACCTACACCTTAATTGTTACTTTCTCTAAACTCCAAATTAATTTCTGTTTTATGTTTCAGTATGTGGTCATGGCATCTGTGTCTGGATAGGCACACATCAATCTGTACTCTGCCAAAGTCTATCTTTGGAAAGGCCTTTCACTAATCTCCCGAAGATTTAGCCTGGTGCCATTTACCTGCCTCCCCCAGGTTCCTGTAAAAACCTGGAGATCTCAATATCTTAGCATAATAACACAATAGCATGATAAATGATCATTTATTCATAATTCATAGCCCTTTACAGAAGGGGCTAGGACCTGCAGCCCAGAGGCCTGGGACCGCCCTGCAGCTTACTTTGTAGGCCTCATAACCTAGTTTAATTTCACTGAGGCTTGGAAGATTTTCTGGGTTCACAGATTAAAGGTTCCTTATTTTAGGTGGCCTTGGTATTTTATACTTCTCAGAACAGGACAACTGGAGTGAAATATTCCTATAATCAAATTTTTCCTGTCTATCTGCAGTACATCCTCCACACACATGGGCTATAAAATATGTCCAAGTGATAAAGTCTGTTTTCTAAACTAGAACATAGTAAGTGCTGAAGAAAAGCTGACTGAGATCAATGAAAGTGTGAACCCAGCGTCCCCAGTAAATTTAGGCTCCATGGGGTTTAACCAATTGCCCTAATTTGGCTAGCATAGAGATTTTTGATGTTTTGATAAAAAATAAACTAATGTTTATGTTTTTATCATTTTTTCCCTAAACTGTGATCACATAAATGAGAATTGTATAAACAAAAGGGAGAACAGACAATGTAAAAGTTGTCAAGGGAGGCATAGCAAGAAGGAAAGGAACCTGGGCTTGTAAGACACGAAGGTCCTTCTCTAGAACTGGCAATGTATCGGTCTTACCTCATCCAGTTGGCCCAAGATTCATCCTTTCCATCCACATACTCATAACAGTTTCTCCCCTTGGTGATCTAAGTTTTATAAAAATAAGGTAAAATCTTCTGGGTGGGGAGGGCAGCAATAAGGAAAACTACTCTTTCATCATCAAGGATCTTTGATCCTGCATGGATCCCACCACCAGTTATGACTTGGTATGCACCTTAGTCATCCTCTTCCCACCTGAGTAGATTTGTCCAACCAGCAGAGCAGAGGCCCCACAGAAAGAAGGATGTGCTCCTCTATCTTTCTCTTTTTTTTTTTTAATTTTTTTTTTTTGGAGAGATTTTCACTGTAGGGCGCATGCGCTCGCCAGACAGACAGAGAGAGACATAGAGACAGAAAGCGAGAAATCACCCCCCAGGGGGGATGGTCACGCCGCAATCCCTTCTCCTCCATTCTCCTCTCGGGATCTTGGGCACGCACGCACACGCGCCCGGCGTGAGTTTTAAGCCACCGGGTCCGGGACACGAACCGCGGTCGACTACGTGGGAGTCCAGCGACATAGCCATTACGCTAACTGCTGGTTCCTCTGCTCCTCTATCTTTGATTATTGTGCTCCCACTTACCATGTGACCTGTACATAGAGCTCCAATCTCAGGCAAAGACCATTAAGCACACAGAGCTAACCATGTTATCCTATCCCTGCCACGTGTAGAAAATAATATCAACCAAAGGCACAGAAGGGAGATGGGAAGCCAGAAGGCAGGGGAAAGGTCAGCATTTCTCACCAGCCAGGAGTAGCCACTGTTGGCTGCCTCTTCATCTTCTGTGATCTGTCCCTCATAGGGACCAAAGTGCAGACCCAAGGGCAGATCAGTTGCTGCATTCCAGACTCCAAGCCCAGCCTCAGGGATGCCTGATGGTGCAATTCTCAGCCCAGGGGGTAGACTGAGGACTGAGCGGTTGAGACTCCCCTTGTCCACTGCACTGTCCTTTACGAATATTGGGGGCCCATGAGCAGAACAGCTGTCAATGAAGAAGTTCTGACACTTCTCACAATCTGGAGGCAAGAGCAGCAGAAATTAGAAAAAGTCTGTATTGTGTTTCTGAATATAAAGAGCTTCAGAAAGGGCCCAGCACTCACATCAGCTAGCTTGGATCCCATACTCAAAGTTACTGTAATGAGAGAATGATTTGGAGGCCAAACTATGACACAAAATGATTGTCCCCAGACACAACAGCCTTCTGCATGAGTGGATCTAGAGGGTGACTTACACAAGTAGTCATCATCCTGGGGCTCGTGGACCTCTTTGTATGTACCACACTTTCTTTCTCGCAGGCTATACATCTTTACTTTGGTCTCCTTTCTCCTAACTTCTAAGTTGGAGAAGAGTGAGTGAGTTAATTTGAGAGTCTGCAATCTGAGCATTCATTCCTGTTTCATCAGAAAATATAAATCTTCTACCATCCAGTTATCATCTAACCTTCAACATACTCTGTGCCCCCTTCTCCATTTTAATTACTGGTTCAGAGAGACTAAGACTCCACACCCACAGTAACTACAAAGGGCTGATTTACTTTTGGGTTCTGGCTTCCCTCGATATCAGGTTTAACCTCCTAATCTTTCTACTTATAAAATGGTTCATTCATGCACTTATTCTTTCAGAATATATTTCTCTTTTTTTTCTCGTTTTTTTTGGGGGAGAGAGGTTTTTGCTATAGGGCACGTGCGCTCGCCAGACAGACAGAGAGAGACAGAGAGACAGAAAGCGAGAAATCACCCCCCAGGAGGGATGGCCACGCCGCAATCCCTTCTCCTCCATTCTCTTCTCGGGATCTTAGGCATGCACGCACACGCACTCGGCAGAATATATTTCTTGAAGGCACCTTACATGTTACCATTGAGCAAGGCCTGGACATACAGTACTAAGAAGTATGGTCTTTGTGATCACAGGTAGATTTACTGGATTTATCAAACTGTTTATATTTTATTTAATGCTCTCAAAAACTCTATGATCTATGTGCCCTTAACCACATTTTATAGATTTGCATTTAGGAGGTCAGAGAAATCCTAAAATTTGCCAAAACCCCCAGTTCTTCTATATGGATTATAATTCAGCTGTATGATGTCCCTATTCAGGGTTCCTGGTGTCAGCTCAGTCCAGGGTAAGCCCAGCTCTGTCCAAGGTTCACCTACATATCTAAATTGTACTGACCAACATTTTTAGAGGACCTGAGGGGATGAGCATCCCAAAATTATTTTCTCTTACCCAATGTCTGTCTAGAGAGCTGTCCAGAGGTGGTTGTTTCTCCAGGAGGAAATGCTGGTTTCTGGTCCTTCTCTGAGTTGCTTGTGTTCAATAAATTTACCGCTCCTGACAGTTCCTGAAAAATAGATTTTTTTTTTTGGAGAGGTTTTTGCTATAGGGCATGTGCGCTCGCCAGGCAGACAGAGAGAGACATAGAGACAGACAGCGAGAAATCACCCCCCAGGGGGGATGGTCATGCCGCAATCCCTTCTCCTCCATTCTCCTCTCAGGATCTTGGGCACGCACGCACACGCGCCCGGCGTGAGTTTTAAGCCACTGGGTCTAGGATGTGAACCGCGGTCGACTACGTGGGAGTTCAGTGACATAGCCATTACGCTAACTGCTGGTTCCCGAAAAATAGATTTTTTAAAAAAGGAATGGCAGCTTGGACATTCCCTTTAACGGTAATAGCCACATATTTTTTTAATGTATTTTTTTAGTTTTCTGGGTCGTGTAATGTGTTTGCACATGCATGACTTTAGTTAATGTTTCAGTGACCCTTGGAAATACCTGCAGTGTCTGAATACTAGAGCGAGTAGGAAGGCCCCAAATGTGTAGGAAATCCAGCATTAAAAGCCATTCCAAAAGGTCTTTTCCTTCATCTGTCTCTGAAATATTTTTCTAGCTAATTGAGTCAGGGAGGGAGAATCTTGGAATGAAAAGATGGAGAATCAACCAGAACTTTGAAAGAAGGGGGTAAGGGTTTATAGGGACAGAGATGGAAAAGAGATTGCAGTGTAACAACTAGTAGCGTTTTTTTGGAATGGAAAATATATTATAGAAAGCACACAAGAGACAAAACAAATCTGTGAAATAAGAGGACAGAGAAATGGGATTTAGAAGAGAAGAAAGAAATTATTTATATAAATATACCTAGATGACCAAGAAGGTGATGCAGAAAGATACAAATTGGCACATGCTGTAAAGAATATTTGACTCTGGGATTAGATCAACTGATTCTTGTACCAATTCTGCTTGAATACAATGTACCATTGGCTAACTGTCTTCAGTTTTATCCATAAATTAACATAAATGCTAACTCTTTTTTCTTTCTTTTTTCATACTTTTTTGTTTTATTTGTAAACATTTTAGTATAAAACATTGTTTCATTTAAAAATGTACATGATAATTCCTATCGTTTTAGGGAACTTGAAATTTAATAATGTTTGCCAAAGTATTTTGTAGGCTGTTGAATGCAGAGCAAACATGAGATCAATAATTTCTCTCAAGGGCCAGTAGGTGGCAGGGTGGCTAAGGTGCTGGACTCCGACCTAGCAGAACAGGATTGTAGACCTGGACCTTGCTGCTTCAAAATCAGGCCAGGAGTATGTGTTCATGCCCCAAATCTAGAGGGGGAATGTAGGAGAGGGGATTGCAGTGTGGCCATCTCTTTAGTAGATGATTTCTCACTTTCCGTTTCACTGTCTCTCTTTGATGAGAGCACACTCTATGGAAAAAAAAAAATCTCTCATAGCGGGACATCATTTTACCCCCTCAACCATCTATACAGTTCAACTTTAACTAAAAGATACTCTCTTTAGCATGCCTTGATGCTGTTATTTTTAGGTTAACTCATCAACTCAGAATCACCTATTCAGAAAATGCTCAGGTTCCTCAGAGACCCTGAAGTGGGCCTGAGACCTGCAAAGAATCAGATTTGAGCCAGATACTTGTTTTTTTGGAGAGGTTTTTTTTGTTTGTTTGTTTTTGTTTTTGTTTTTTTGTTATAGGGAGCTTGTGCTCACCGGAAAGGCAGAGGGAGTCAGAGAGACAGAAAGTGAGAAGTCAACCCCCAGGTTCTTAAAGAGTCAGGCATGTAGTAGGCTAAGTAGGGATTCCACACCATCTACCTAAGTAGATCCCAGAAGAAGTCATTATTTCATTATTTCCTCCTACAAGAATGACCATTTAAAATCAGTTTAAGAAGGATACAATCATTTTTCATAGACTTTACATATAAAAAGTCCTAAGTCACTTTCTTATTTATCATCAAACCTGAAACTCCTCAGGGCTAGAGACTGCTTTCTTTCATCAGAATTGGACCCATCTGAAGGTAGGAACTCTGTCTCCTTTTTCATCTGGGACCAACCATAGTACAAATTGCCTGTGTATTTGTAATCCTCCCTTAGAGTGTCTTAGAGCATCTCTCAGTTTATTATTGAGAGAACTGAGGTTGAAATAATTAGATGAGTGACATAAAGATGTATGGATAAACCAGCATATGCTTCATAGAACTGCAAAAGCTGTAATAAGCTTGTAAGTGTTTTAGAAAAGGAGTTTTGGGGAGCAGCAGTATAGTCAACGATGGTTCGAGTTCCAGACCTGGTGGCTCAAACTCACACTGGGCGCATGTGCGTGCATGCCCAAGATCCTGAGAGGAGAATGGAGGAAAAGGGATTGTGGAGTGGCCATCCCCCCTGAGGGGTGATTTCTCGCTTTTTGTCTCTCTGTCTCTTTCGGGCGAGCACACGCACCCTATAGCAAAAGCCTCTCAAAAAAAAAAAAGTTGTTTCAAAGCCCGAGGGCCAGCATGTGTTGTGGTGGTTAAGGCACCTAATCCCACATAGGTGACTGCATGGTTTGAGTCTGGAATCCAGCAGCTTGAAAAACATGTTGTGTGTGTGGCGTGTGTGTGTGTGTGTGTGTGCGGCCCCCCAAAATCCCGAGGAGCTTACATAAGGCCATCCCCCTGGTGGGGGTAATTTCTCACTTTCTCTCTCACGGTCTCTGTTTCTCTATGAATGCATGTGCCCTATAGCACAAAAACCCCTAAAAAAAAAAAAAAAAAAAAAGGAAGAAAGAAAAGAAAAGAAAAAGAAAAGGAGTTTTGCATTACATGGCATCTGCATTGACTGTGATCAAAGTCATCAAAGTCATGTAAATGGACATTGTTGCATCTCACTTTCCTCATGGACAAAATGGCTATAATTATAAGGCCTACTTCACAGGGTTGTGGTAAGGTTTAAGTGAATTTATTTATGTCAAATCCTTAAACTAAAGTCTGAAATACTGCAGAAATAAAACACTGGCAGTGATTCTTGTTACTGTTCTTATTAATTATTATAAGTTAACTATCATAAGGTGATGATGCCAGATAGTGCGAAAGAGATCAGGAAAGGAAGGCAGGAGTTCTTAAGATGCTCTGCTCATTCTCTTTCTCTTACCTGTGTTTGTATCCAGGAGAAAGATTTTCTCAACAGGATTTTGAACATACTCACCTTCTGGTATTTCTTCTCTTCTACTCTGAGGGTGACCCGAGGATGTTTGACTAAAAGGTGATGAGAGATCAGTGTTTTGATAGATCAGTGTTTCCACAATCAAGAGGTGATCATTAATATAGTGTATTGTGAACCAGAGTGTGACTATTTCAAGTATTCTCCAACAGCAATTTGAAAATGTTTTCTGAAGTATCATTAAAACCTATACATCAGGTACCAGCAGTTAGCGTAATGGCTATGTCGCTGGACTCCCATGTAGTCGACCGGGGTTCGAGTCCTGGACCCGGTGGCTTAAACTCACGCCGGGCGCATGTGTGTGCGTGCCCAAGATCCCGAGAGGAGAATGGAGGAGAAGGGGTTGCGGCGTGGCCATCCCCCCTGGGGGGTGATTTCCTGCTTTCTGTCTCTCTGTCTCTCTCTGTCTGTCTGGCGAGCGCATGCACCCTATAGCAAAAACCTCTCAAAAAAAAAAAAAACCTATACATCAGTTAAGAGCATTATTAGTTTTCTTAAAATAATTTTTAAATAGGTAAAATATGATCTGTGATTTATCATATGGCCATATGGTGCCTGTTACATTTATTTAAAATATAAATTGGTGATGGCCATCAGATAGTGTAATGGTTACATTGCTGGACTCCCACATGACTGACTGCGATTCAAGTCCCAGACCTGGTGGCTTGAAAATCATATCAGGTGCATATGCGTGCATGCCCAAAATCCTGAGAAGAGAATGGAGGAGAAGGGATTGCAGTGTGGCCATCCCCCATGGGGGATTTTTCTCACTTTCCCTCTCACTGTCTCTGTCTCTCTCTCTCTCCCACTGAGCACATACTCCCTAAGGCAAAAAACTCTTGAAAAAATAAAATAAATTGGACTTACATGGTAAAAACACTCAACCAACTAGAAACAGAATGAAATTATTCTAACATAATGAAGCTCATGTACAATAAGCCCACAGATAACATCATATTTACTGCTGAAAAACTCAAAGGTTTTTCTCTAAGTTCAGGAACAGGCAAGGATTTTCTCTCTCACTACTCTTATTCACCCTAGTACTGGAAGTCTTAGAACAATTAGGCAAGAAAAATAAATTTTAAAAAATCCAAATGGGAAAGGAGGAATTCAAATTATCTCTATTCTCACATGACATGAGTTTATATATTAAAAAACACAAATATTACACTCCCGTGCAATCTGTTAGAACTAATCATTTAATTTAACAAAATTTAGAATATAAGTTAACATTCAGAAATCAGTTGTGTATCTCTCTACACACAACAAAAGACGACCCAAAAAGGAATTAAGGAAAAGATCTATAATAGCAGAGACCAGCAGTTAGCATAATGGCTACGTCGCTGGACTCCCACATAGTCGACCGCCGTTCGAGTCCCGGACCCTGTGGCTTAAACTCACGTGCGTGCCCAAGAGCCCGAGAGGAGAATGGAGGAGAAGGGATTGCGATGTGGCCATCGCCCCTGGGAGGTGATTTCTTACTTTCTGTCTCCCTGTTTCTCTCTGTCTTTCTAACAAGCACACATACTCTATAGCAAAAACTTCTCCAAAAAAAAAAAAAGAAGATCTATAACAGCATAAAAAAGAATAAAGTATTTAGGAATAATCTTATCCAAAGAGACAAAAGACTTAAACACTAAAATACAAACATTGCTGAAAGAAATTAAAGTCAAGTAAATGGAAAGGCATCTTTTGTTCATGGATTGGAAGATGGAATATTATTAAAGTTTTGACACTACCCAAAATGATCTACAGATTTAATGTCATCTCTATCACAACTTGACTATTTTGCCAAAAACAGAAGAAAAAAAAAAAGTAAAAACGTACGTGACAAAAAAAAAAAAAAAAAAAAACAAAAAACAAAAATCAAAAAACACCTTGGGACCAGCAGTTAGCGTAATATCCTTCTGGAAGCTAGAAAGGAAATAACAGCAATATTCTGTTAAGTCTGGAAATAGGCTGAGATGAGAAAAGCCAGCTTGCTTTCGTGATTGTTTTCTGCAGCACCCTAAAAAAGCATTTTTAAAAGAACGTGACATCTCTCATTGTGTGTGAATTCATGAGCTTTGTAATATCTTTTTCCCATGGAGTACTAGCTTTGGTTGACCTTAAAAAAAAAAAGTATGTGACATCTCAAAGGTACCAGTATAGTTGAAAGACTCTTGATAAAGAGCAATGTTGTATGCCTCATACTTCTTGATTTCAAAACATATTACTCAGTTATAATAATCAAAACAGTGTGGGACTGGCATAAAGACATGTATATAGATTGACGAAACAGGAGGAAATAAGCACTTGCATATGTGGTGAAATGATTTATTGACAAGGGAGCCATAAGTTTATATACATGAAGCTGTCTGTGGTCAATGACATGCAGAAAAGTTCAGGGAAACTGAACAGTTCTCACAAACACTCCCAGAAGCAAGACAAAAAATCAGGTTCATTTGGGTAAGAGGGTCAGTGGTGTGATCAAATATACATAAATAAGTCATGTATTTGTTTATAATATGTTAACCATTTCCTATTATCAGAGCTTTAGTCCAATAAGAAAACTATTATGAGACTGACGTTAGAAAGCCATTTGGTGAATTTACAGTTTATTTAAGGTTTCTTTAATTGCCTTTGATTAATTAAAAAGATTTACCTTATTCATTTTTAGAAAACCAAAGTAGTATCTTTTAAACATATAGAGATTTCTGGAGAAAGATATTGAAAAATCTGTACATTCATCACTATTCAGTCCCATCCCAACATTCTGCCACAATTACTTCAGATCTTTTTCGTCCTGTGTCACAAGTCACAAAGAAAAACACACCAAGCCACCTGCCAGTTCTTCCTCATTCTCTTGTGATGTTAACTGTCCAAATTTTGGTATTTTATAATCACATTCAGATGTTTAAACCCTTACTATCATATCCATAACTATGTAATTATTTTATGTATGTTAAATTTTACGTGGATAACCACTGACTATATACTGAATACTCTTTTGCATCTTGCTTGATTGGTGAACTTTTGTTTTTTTGAGGAAACACTGTTTTCTTTCTTAACCCCTGAGATGTAGGTGAGACCTAAACCCAGGCAGGTTTCAGGGAGTCACCCCTTAATCCTCCTGGCCCCTCACCTTGCTGCCTAGGTGTCCATTCTTCATCAGAATCCTCAGCATCATCCATGTGAGGTTTGACCGCCAGCTTTCGGTGACACATAAAAGCTGGTCGAGGGGCTCTGAGACCTGGAAAGAAGGAAAGTGTTAGTCCTAGAAGGAAAGATCTGGAAGTGGAACAAGGAGCAATGGCACTGGAAAGTATCGCAGAGCCAGTGTGATGCCGTTAGATCTGCCTGGAACGTCTCCAACAAGATCAAGATGTGAGTTCTGCTCTCAGACCCACATTGACAGAAAAGAAAATTTCCCTCTAGATTTCTGTCCATACAGCAGAGTACTGTGGGCAGATCCAGCCACCAAAGAGAGAGCCCCAATAACACAGAGCCTGAAGACTGTTGTGTCTCAGGCTTCTCGTACCTATAGCAATCAGTGTGGTATAGTTCCTTTTGACATTCCTATAGCGGATTTTCTCCCACTCTCCCATTTGTGCCCATTCTTCCTTGGAGAAGTATACGGAAATGTCTTTGAAAGCGTCTTTGACCTAGCAAAAATAGAGAACATAACCGATTCCATTAATTATTTCCTAGTGCCCGTCAGGACATGGAGGAGCTGGGCCTTTGCCTTCACCCTGGGTATAGAGCTTAGCCTGGGGCTTCTGGCTAGTCTTTGTGAAACCAAAATAGACTCCTACTCCCTCGCTTCCCAGGTTGTGTCCTGTTTAACTGGGCAAACTGCACATCTCCCTAGCTCTTTCCTGACCCAGAGCAATTGCTGATGCTAGTGTCCTTTTCTTCTCCATGTCCAGGACAGGACCAGCCACCCCTTTCCATGCACATTCAGACAGGGTCACCCAGGAGTCCGCACCCCTGCAGAGACTAGCTCCTCGCCACTAGGTCGCCCTCTCATCCTTACTACAGACCATGCTGGGAGCCTGAGCTCACCTTCCCCCACCCCCTCACCGTGGGCTTCCACTCTGTCCTCCCTGCATCTCCTTCAGGGCTCTCCTCTGGGGACTTGTAGCGCCTCATAATGCTGGGAGCACCAGGCATCCACATGTAACTCCAGTTCTCCCAGGTTCAAGGCCAAGGGGCCTGTGAAAGAGAAGTGACTCAGAAAAGGTGACAGCCAGACCAATGCCGTCTCTGGCTTATCCAGTCGACTGGGGTATCCAGAGTGAAAATGTGAGGACCCTAGGCAGGATTGGAGAACGCCAGGAGCATGGAGAGTGTTGGTGAGGTGGGAGGGTTGCAACCTGCTTGACAGGACACCTAGTGTGAGCTAGATTGTTTCTTGACCCCGTGTGCAGCTTGGCTCGAGGTGACAAAGGTGCTGCAGGTTGTGGCTGTGGGTGCTTGGGGCAGTCCTGAGGTGTGAGGGCCAGAGGAATCACGGTGAGACCGGAGTCCCCGTCCCCCTGGGGAAAACCAGGGCAGGCTGATGAGTAGGGTCTATTCCAGCAAGAGGAAATGAGTGTCTCTTTCCTTTTCTTTCTTTTCCTCTTTTTTTTTTTTTTTTTGGTAGGTTTTGCCATAGGGCACCTGTAATCACCAGAGAGAGGAGAGAGGGAAAGTGAGCAATCACCCCTTAAGGGGGTGGCCATGACTAAGTCCCTTCTTTCTCCTCTCTGACGGGTTACCAACGCAAACGTGCCCAGCAGGTGGTTCTCAAGCCGTGGGGACCCTGAGGGCTGTCGCCCATGTGGATCCAGCGCTTTAACCAGCACGCCACTGCTGGCCCGGAAATGAGCATTTCTGTAGAGGGGGTTTGGGAACCCCACCTGGAGATTGTGAAAAACCTGGAGTAAAGCAATGTTCTCCATAAGGGGGGTGGTCTCTCAGGCTGAGGATTTGGGGGCTCCAGGGTCGGGGATGCGGGGGCCCTCCTAAAGGGATGTCAGATGTCTCAGGCTGAGGAACCAGGTTTCTCAGGAAGAGATCAGGGTTCTCTCAGCCGAGGAACTTTGGGATTCCGCAGACTGAAAGTATTGGGGTTTCTCGGGACCAGACACGGGGTGGGGGTCTTTCAGGCTGAGAGAGTTGGCGAGCTCGAGGGGAAAGGATTTTCATTAGGTTAGGGAGCTTTGGCGGCCTTGGGATGAGAACATTTGGAATCCTTGAAGCAGGGAAAACATAGGGTCTCTCGGGCTAGGATTTGGGGTTCTCGAGGGGCTTTGTGTTCTCTGACTTTGAGGGGTTTTCCTTGGGGGGTCGTTGAAGATAAGGGGTACTTTCCAGCGTCTCTGGGATCGGGGAAATGGGGCTCCGTGGGATCTTGAGTGTTTGTCAGTTGTCTGAGGAGAACTGGGGCTCCTCAGGCTCAAGGTTTTTGGGGCTCTAATCAGTAGGGCACTCCTCTGGGTGTGAGGGGGGCCTGAAGCCCGAGGGTTTGGGATTTCTTCAGGTCAGTGGGTAGGGGCCCCTCGAGGTGGCGTGACGTGGGGTCTCTTGATGCTGAGGAGATTTGGAGCGTCTCGGGATGAGGGGATCTGGGCTCTCTCAGGCTGAACTTTGAAGGCCTTGGGCTGAGGGCTGAGAAGGGCCTCGCGCGGCAGGGCAGAGGCCCACCGCGACCGTGTCGGTCTCCCCGGCGGCCCCTTGTGCTGTGCGCCCTGCACCGCGCGGCGCCCTCAGGAGGCGAGACCTGACTGAGCGCGAAGCACCTGCGGGGAGGGCTCTAATAGGCACCAACCGCCAATCAGCGCTGTGACCATAGTGGTCCCGCCAATCGGCGACGAGAAGAGACTGGAGGGGCGTGTCGTAGGCGGGGCCTGCCAGCCAGGGGCATTGCCAGGTGTTCCTACTTGCCTACCCCGGCGGTGGCGCTGGCGCAGGCGCAGTCTCCCGGTTTGCGCCCGCATTCCCGGGGGCTGGAAGTTGGTCCCTGGATGACTCTTTTCTGTGCGGTCCTGGAGCCCAGCGAGCTCGGGCCGAGGTCCGGACATTGGCGTCTCTCTGCCGCCCGTTCTGCTCACCGGGAGGGGGTCCTGGGGGTGCGGCCAGAAGGCAGGACGGGCAGCTGCCGTCACCGGGTCTGGCCCCAGGAGTCTGTTTTCATCTGCATTTTTGCAGAGGTTGAAATTCGTGCTGGGAAGTAAATCACGGACCAAGTCCACCTGGCACAGCCAAGAAGAGGTTCGCTGGCATCTCCTGCTACTTAGCCTCTTCCTGTGCTTTCTCCCACACCCCCACCCCACCCCCCCAGAAGTTTTTGCCTTAGGGTGCGTGGGCTTGCTGGAAAGAGACAGACAATTAGAGGTAAAGTGAGAAATCATAGGGGGGGATGGCCAGTCTGCAATCGCTCCTCCATTCTCCTCCTGGGATCTGAGACATGCACATGCCCTGCCCGGCGGGATTTTCAAGCCACAGAGTCCGACTGGAACTGCGGTCGGCCACGAGGGAGTCCAGCGATGTAATCCTTAAGCCATCTGCTCCCGCCCCCTTCGCCCCCCTTTGATGACTTAAGGAAAAGCTCCAGGTTACATCCCGGGGCCACAGAGATCCTGAGAGACTTATGGTCAGATGTATGGAGGGACCTAGCATCTCTCCCAGCCATAGCCTCAGGCCTTGGGAAGCGGGTAAGAATGACCAAGGTCAGCAGTGGGTCATGGGGCAGCATGCCTCGCCAGGGACCACATAGGAGCTCGCAGCTTTGACCAGAAGGGCCTGAGGTTCTGTCCTCCAAAGGTCTCAGCGAAGAGAGTGAGCAGGTTGGCCTGCTCTGCAGTTTGTAGGTCTTGGGTCTGGGGGAAGGAGGACCAAGTGACTGGCAGGCACTCCGTGGGATGGGAGGCAGGGCTTCCTGCGGCAGGCAGACCTGAGCTCCTGTCACAGCCACAGCCCCACTGGCCAAGGGACCTCAGGGTGGCAATTCACCTGCCCCCATAAGTCATCTGTGGACACTGGAACTTCCTCTCACATCAAGGTGGTTGTGATTGCAAAACCCACAGCACAGCGCGAGAAATCCAACCGCAGATGTGAATGTTACCATTAAATTGCAACCGTGATTCTCTTCCTATAAATGCCACATGACCCAGTGACGTCAAATGGAGGATGAGACCAGGTCTGGCTGACACTTCCTTGCAATGCTGCTTTCTCCCAGGAAGGGATTCTCCACCCAATTTCCTGCAGTCTCCATATAATCTATGGGATGTGCTTGAAAGCAGCCGGACTGTGGTCAGATGTGTGGAGGGACTTCCAGAAGGTGTTTCCTCTTCCAATCATAGACTCAGGGCATGGGAAACCAGTAGGGAAGAGTTCTGGGAGCTCAGCATTTCCCACAGAGAGAACCATGAGGCCCTCTGTCCTGAGTGAGGATAGACCCAGAGCAGCTAGACAGTATGGGACCTTGTGGCCTGCGGGCTCCAGGTTGGAAGGCCCAGTGCTCGGACATGTTTAGTCGAAGTTTCTTTTGTTGTTGGGTGTGTGTGTGGGTTTTTTTTTCCCCAGTTTTTACTGGTGCATTCGCATCCTCATTCATAAATATACAGATAAATAATACAGAAATTCACAAACTAGAACCACAAATGACACACAGTCCAACAACCTGTCCTCTTGTTTCTTTATGCCCTTCCTATGCCTTTATTATGCCTAGGTTTGGGGATAGCTAACTATCATGAATCTAAGTGACCTGTTAACTCCACACAAGTCATAAAGAGAACCGTGACAGTCCGACACTCCCCTTGTCACTGTGCCATGATGCGGCTCCTCCATAGCCACCTGGTGCTGCTAAAGGAAACACATTTCTGAAGATTTAGAGTAAAATATGCTGCAAAGAACGTATTTGTCCCTGACTCACGATTTTTTTTCTAAATGAAAAAACTGTAATAAAAGTGCATCTATTCAAGATTTAAAAAAAAACCCACATATTTGTCCTTAAATAACT